TATTAGGATCCTTGCATTTGTACCCATGATATTTAAAAAAATCTGTCCAGACAAACCATGTAGAAATAAGTATGCAAAAACTGCAAACAAAAACATTTAAGGAGCCAAAATTAAAAAGACCTTTGTGTGAATTCACACAGTCTTGCTTGGTTCCTACTAGGCTATTGCAGCCAAGTAGTCCTTAACCTCAGTTGGAGTTAGCCTCCTAAAACCAGCTTCGTTACAGATGCCAACTTCAATGTTGTCTTCTGTCATTTGCCCTTCAAAGCTCTCCTGTGAAAGGAAATACAGTTCAGTGAATCACAGCAGTGATGTCATAACAGTAAGAAACACGTTTCTTAACTATTTTGCTAACCTTTAGTGTTAAGATAGCTGTATGAATGGCATCTTCAAGCTCCAAATCTTCGTTGTATCTGTAAAAAGATCATGATGTATTTCACCATGGGACAGTAAGCCTCTAAAAATCCAAAGATTGCTAAATTTTTCATGCAAATAGTATTTGAAAATACTGTTATTTTAAAAATTACAAATAATGATTTTGAAGGTTTGTAATTATTATTTTTATATATATTAATTATTATTTTTGAAGATTTGTAATTATTTTTACAAATAATGATTTTGAAGGTTAATCTATTTCACTACTTGTTCTGCAAATATGCTAGTATTCTGTTTTCTGCAGTGGATTATTTTATTATACACACAAAAGTTTACACAAAGAAAATTTCACGTGCATATTTAAATAAGGAAATTAGAAGCATCGCATCTTAAATACTTTAAAACTTTGTTCTGATATTTTAAAAGTACTGTTTTTTTTGGTTCATCTGTTTTACCTGGAATATGAACAAAACAGATAGTATCTTTTTAAAGTATCAAATATATTACCTTTTCTCAAGGAATGTTTTCCCATTGACATAATTTTTTCCCATTGCTGTTGCTTTCCAAGCAAAATAAGCTCCCTGTAAAAACAACAAATCCATTGAATTGTTCTCTGTAACTCAATCAAAAACACATTTGACTACTTGGTAAAAGAAAGAGAAGCAATTATGAAAATATTGGATGTTATGACAATATATGACATTACTTTAGGTCACATTCAGACAAATTTGATATGGAAACATACTATGAAAATGTATAAAACATTTGTATAGAGTCCCACCTATTTTCATCCTTCCACACTGCTTTGAAAGATGGACTTAGTAAGGTCTTCGCATAGTTTGATTTGGGATTCCTTGAACAAAAACATATGCTCACACTTGAGCATGAGCAGTCAGTTCTTTCCTTAGGCTCACCCATTGTTTTTTGTTTTTTTTTTTTTTAAAAAGACTAAATAATGTGAACAACTTGTTTGCATCTGGTTTATCTACCTTACTAGTATGTTATTTAGCCATCACTCCTATTCTCTCCTATTGCACAAAGACCATCAAGAGCTCTATGCTTCAATCAAGATGATTACACAAGGTAACTGCATTTTGCTTTTTACATTTAACATAATGTAACAGCTCAAATTTCTGAAACTTATCAAGCATCACTAGAGCAACCTTTTTTTATTTTGATGTAAAGTGTTACAACTCGGAGGCATCAAAGGGTAAATTTTATTTGAAATGTTCTAACCCAGTAAATAAACTTACTTAGGTGGGAAAGGATGAAAAGGGATGGTGATCTCTTTCAGAAACTGCTGCTATTCCTCATGCAGTTCAGAACACGGAGACCTAGAATGAACAGATGGTACCCACTTCCTACATTCCTCTATTTCCTTTGGCACAGTGGCCAGAATTCCAGGCTTGACCCCAACACTTAAGAATGATTCTACTTCACAACTCCTGAAATTGGGATAAGGAATCTATTCTTCCTGTTCCACATTCTTCTCATCACAGAAAGTATTTCATAAGCACATACAAAGTTCTAGATGTCATATAAGAATAGTAGACTTTACAGATGTTAGATACTTACAGACGGATCTGACTGAAATAAATAGGGCCGCCCCTCATTCCAGCCACATATTAGCAGTGATACACCAAATGGGCGAACACCTCTACAGGAAAAAAAAATAAAATACAACAATAAATGCCTGACAGTTGGCACATAAAATTTGTAATTTTACTCAGTGAACACCAACTGGATGCGTTAACCTTCCCCCACGGGCCTCCCAACAACCCAGAGCTGTGATCATGACTGACTAGTCAGTATGCCTGTGTTCAAGATACGATGACTATCTCACTCAGTCTGTTAGTGCTCCTCCCACTCACACACTTTCTGTGAGCATTCTCCAGCAAAACAACCCAATCTTTCTAACCAAACTCCAGAGAACCACTTACCCAGACTGTGTATATTCCTGCATCACAGAAGCAATTCTTTGTACTAGCTGAGCTGTTGGAATGGGCTCGTGATAAACCAAGTAATATTGCTGGGCCAGCTTCCGGGCTCTGTGCACAAGTACTCTAAAAACAAAGACAAAATTATTATATCAAAAAATCCAACTCTTTGTTACAATTAGAACTGAAAAATCATAATAAATATTATGCTAAGGAATTACACATCTGACATAAAACCCATGTACGAAAACATAGATCATATTGGGTTATCTTTATCAACTGGGTAATCTCTGAAGTACTTCAATTGAAACTAAGGTTGAATTACATTGCTATTCATTCCACATTCATTTTTTAGATATAAGTGTATTTGCCAAGGAAATTCATATAGTAACCTTAAATAGAATGTAAATTTCATACACAGTGTAACACAACATAATATTATGCTATACACTTAGAGAAACGTATCTAAATGATGACCAAGCAATTTTTTTTTTTTATATACCTGTAATCTGGACCCATACCGCTATACACTAAACCTATATGTTTGGTAATTGGTTCTACTTTGTGAACGCTCCTTTCATCATAAAGGATGGATTTCTGCTTCTTCTCAGTTGCCAACACCACTCCATTTGCAGCTAGAAAAAAAAAAAACACAAGATTTTTTCCATATTAAACTAAAATTATAAAAAGCAGTTGAAGCACAGAACAGGTTTGTTGCAACAAATAATTTTGCATCTCCCTTTAAAAAAAATCTTTCAAGTCTACAATCGTGATAAGCAGAGACTATTTAAGGAACCCACCCAACATATTATTTCCCATTTTGAATAATCAGCAGCTTTTTGAATAATCACAGCTCCCATAATCCCATTTTAATGATTCTAAAGCACGTAGTAATAACTGAGCAGTTGAAGTAACTTTACGTGTAGTATCTATATATATACACAGCTGGAGTTATTTACTTAAGGAACACTCCAAATCGAAGATGTTTATTTCTACCAGTTGTGTCTGCCCAATATCACCCTAGCAATCTTCTTCTAGAATGGAGCAATACGTTGCCCTTCTTTATGATAGAACCATTCACTAATGTAGTTATGTTCTCAACGTACCTTTAATCCCAACCGATGGAGCTCCTGCAGCCACGGCAGCCAAAGCATATTCAATCTGGACAAGTTTCCCAGAAGGACTAAAAGGCAAAATGCAATAAATACCATGATTCCAACAGGCTCAAATACTTCCTGCAGTGATCTGATGTCAACTTTCTTTTTTAACCTCTTCACACCTAGCATCTCCATACTGTAATCATAATTAAAAATAAATAAATAAAAAATCTGGAGATTCATTAAAAAGAACGAGGCAGATCCTTTTAAAAGATTGCCATGTGGTGCTACTGCGATACTTGCACAGCACCTGCTTACAACCCCAATAAAAACTAACGTGTCCTGGATGGGAAGCACTGATTGCAATGCAGTTCTTCAACTCTGTACCACTTTACCCAAGTTTCTCACTTGGTGGGGGAATCTTCACAGCATGTCACGAACTTCCACTGACATGGCATTATACATATGGTTTGCAATAGTTTTCAAGACAGCAGCATTCACCGCTGAAAGGTACAAGCAAACCATGGCTATTCACTTTCACTGATGAGCACGGCACAGGTCAATGGCACAAGATGGAAACAGTTCCTCTTCCATCTCCAGGCATTCCTGCATCTTGCTTTAACGCCCCACGCTGTTCTGCTAACAGATGCAGAACCATCTCAACAGAGCGGCAGGCATCAAGATGTTAAAGTTAACTCCTCCAAAATGGGGTGCAAGCTCCATCTCTATGGAAGAGGACAGCGCAGCGCCAGTCACTTTTTGGACAAACAATTTTGACAACGTTTCTGACACTGCTGCTTTAGTAAATGAACGAGCAAAATGCAGGGAGATGCACTTCTATGGCTGGAGGAGATAGGAAAAACAAAGCATGTGATAATCAGTGTAGTTATTCATACGCTGTGTACATGTAGGTGACAGCAGTAACTCCAGCTCCTCCCTCACAAAATACCAGTGGAAGAGAAGAATAGTTTCCCGTACCAGAATCGAAACATTTACAATTTTAGGAGAACATTTAAAACCTATTGCAAAGCTAAAATATTCTCAGGACACGAAACACCCAACCGAGGGACAGCGCAGGCAGTTGGTATCTCCTCCACACGGACACAGAATCCTCGCTACCGGCCCCATCGGAGCGAGCAGGGAGCGCAGCGGCCCCTTCCCCGCGCCCACCCGAAGCCCAGGCCCCGGCCCCCCCCATGACTCTGCAAAGCCCGGCCGCGGCCCTCCCCCGCCCGCCGAGGCCCGCTGCCCCTCCCGGCCGCCCCCCCGGTGCTGCCGTCCCCTCCTGCCCCCTCCTGTCCCCCCCCGTCCCCTCCCGGCGGCCCCGTCCCGTCCCGCGGGGCACCTGAAGGTGGTGAGGGAGAAGCTGTATCCGCGCTCCGCCATCTTGGGGCCAGCCCCTCAGCTCCCCTGCCGCCCGCTCGCTTCTGCGCAAGCGCTCTCCGCCCGCCCGCCCCGCCGGCGGCAGCGCTGATTGGCGGAGCCTCGCCGCGAGGCACACCGGGAGTTGAAGTCCTGCAGCAGCGCGCTGGCGGCCGCAGGGCATGCTGGGTCTTGTAGTCCCGTCCCCCGCCGTTGTTACGCCGGGACGCGCTCTCCGCACTCGCTTTCCCAGCAGGCTCAGCGGCGCGAGAGTCTTCCCCGCCTGGCTCCTGAGTCAACATGGCGGCTCCGCTGCTGGGGCTCGGCGGGCTGCTGCGGCGCTGCTGGGGCCGCCTGCTGCGAGCCGTGGCGCCCGCGCCGCACTGGGGTGAGTGAGGGGGCCAGGGGAGGGCCCGGGGGGGCAGGTGGGCGGTGGGGAGATGGGTCCTGTCAGAAAGAGCAGCCAGGCGCTGGGGCGGGCTGCCCAGGGAGCTGGGGGGTGAGGGGGGGCAGCGGCCCTGGGGGTGCTCAGGGAGAGGCTGGAGGTGGTGCCTGGGGACGTGGTCAGTGGGTGGCAGTGGTGGCAGGGGCATGGCTGGAGCAGATAACCTCGGAGATCCTTCACAGCCTTCATGATTCTCTGATCTCTGACATTCAGGGCCAGCTCTAGCTGTCCAAGGGCCCGCGTGTCTCCCCTGAGCCAGTAGAAGGCCCCGGAGAAGGCAGCGAGGGCCTCTTGGGCAGCATCCTGTGGATGGCGGCGCCCAAGAAGCGGCGTACCATCGAGGTGAACCGCTGCAGGCGGAGAAATCCCACAAATCTCATCAAAATAAAGGTAGTCGGCAACTTCACGCGTGCTTCCCGCCGTATGCGGTGCAAGTGATTTGATTAACGGTGAACAAACGTGCTGGAGTGTGATTCATGCCTGTGATTTTTAACCTCACTTACAGAATCCTTTGCACGTCCCCTCATGCTCATATACAGCATATATAATCTCACTTGAGAGGATCATAATGGCCAGTACAACTTCCAGAAAACTTTCTTCACTCTGTTTATAAATAAGTTTAAAAGACATCATTACTTTAAAAATACTTTGTAACGTACAGTCATCCCTGTGTGACAGCAGCCTGTGGTTAAATAAAAGGTGACACTTTAGGCGCAAATCAACGAAATGTGGATGCTAGCTATATGGCTGCCATAGGTGGAAATAGCTATATCTTCTGTGCATCTCAATGGCTTGATAGGTCTTTATTCTTCCAAATGTCAATGGGCATAATGATTTACATACTGACTTCATGGGCTATTTTTAGTAGCAAGCATCTGATACAGCCATACATTGCTGAAAAAAGGACTTTGGATAAAATAATAAATTCTGAAAAGGCAATTAAATTTTCCTGGTATTTCATTTCATATTTATTAATCGCTTGTGATTGCTCCCTGTTTATTTTTTGTTGTTCAGATTGTAAAATTTCCTATTTTTCATTTTTCTTTTTTTTCTTTTTTTTTTCTAGAGAAACATAGATGTTTGCCCTGAGTGTGGAAACTTGAAAGAGAAGCATGTCCTGTGTGGCCATTGTTACGCACAGGTCAAAGCAGAAACTCGGCAGATTCGGAAGGAAATGGGTAAAAAGGAAGGAGGACCATTTAATGCTCCTACTGTAGAGACTGTAGTCTTATATGAGGGAGAAAAGCCCACAGAAAAAGATGAAGGCAAGCGGATCATCGAAAGAGCCAGGAAGCGTCCGTCGTGGTTTACTCAAAATTAACAGTGAGAAAGCTCATGTTTTTCAAGAATGTTTTCCTTGTTTTGTTTAATCAATGCTGATATGAAAAAACATATGAACTTTTGGGAAGTCTGCTCAAATCACGTTTTATGTCACACGGTGCTGTTCTATAGCATGCAGTGGGAAATACTGTTCAGTGATACACCATAGCAGTCAACAATGAAAGAGAACCTATATTGGATTTGGATATCTGCATTCAGTACAGTGAATACTTTGTATGTTAACATATGCTGGTTTTGTAAAAACCTTTTTTTTTTTTTTTTTTTTCCTAACAAAGGAAAAAAATTCATGGATGTAAAATAAAGTACATAAAGTTTCCTAGAGAAATCTGCTTTCTGGGCTGCTGGTCTTAAAATATCAACAACAACAAAAACAAAACACTTTTAAACCAATGCTGATTACATACAGAGGATATTTCTGAGCAAAAGTGCAGTTATTTGGTAACTTCCACGTCTCATAATAGATCTGCCTGGATCTCTCCACAATGCTGCTGCTTGAGATACTCGTTTCTGTTTTTGAGTAAAACAGTGTTCTACGAGTGGTCTTTATGTAATCTTTTGGTACCACACCAAAGGTTATTCTCTCTGTTGTCAAGATACAAAACAACCTATTTTAAAGAAAAACTTCCACACTCACCCCACCTCCCCCACGAAATCACTGTGATTCATTGAGTGAAGTAGAAAACTGAGATCTAACGATTGGAAACCTGTAAATTTTATGAGGGTCAAAGCTGGTTATTTGCAGCCATTCCCAGTAACGTGTGCTTGGAAAACTGCGAAGAACAGCCTGACTTCCTCCTGTCCTGTGTTCTCTGCGGAGTGGGGATAGCTCTGCCCTCTGCTGTCCGTGGGTACTCACTTCAGTGCTGCAGCCACAGCAGGTGGCTGTGTGTTTACACTTTGGTTTTAGCCACCCAGTTGTAAACCATTAGCATTAGAGGTTACGATTACTTTTAGTTAGTCACCTATTTGACCCTCTACAGCTCCACTTCCCTGTTTTGTGAATCTATGCTGATAAAAAAATTATTCAGTGGTTTTCTCTGGTTTATTTTTTATTGGCTCCCTGTAGCTTAGCTTGTGTCAGGGTCTGAAAACTATCAATGTAGGGGGTAGGAAAGCAGAAGGAGAGGCAGGACCACGCTTTCCTGAATAGCCTTCACTTGAGCATGGCTGAACCTATTTAAAATTATGCCTGGGCTAGTGTGTGCTGACAGGCTTCGCTTCTTTCCTCACTTTGTATTCCATGTTTTGGCAGGAAAGTAGGAACAGATGTTAGCTGTGATGTTATATGTCTTCCATAGTCGATCGAAATAATGAATGTTGAGAAGTATAAATTGAGGCAATGCAGTTGACAGTATCCAAGAAAACAACGTAAGTCCTTTTCTATTTGTCCAAACAGGATTTGTCCCAGTCCTATCTGTTTCTCACTTCTTAGTCAGAACTGAAGTCAATAAAAAGTGGCAAGCAGGATGCAGAGTGGAAGGCTTGCTTTTGCCAGAGTTGGAAAGGATAAGACTGACATATTGGAGGTGAGATTAGCCAAGCTGATACACTGCTGTTCCAAGGGAAAGGTGTCTATGTATTTTAGGGAGAATGTTTTTTCTTTTATTTTTTTGTCTGCGTAGGACCAATTATACAGTACTGTCTTAGTCCCTTTATATATACATGTATGGTTTTGACAATGACTGTGGAGAAATAAGCAAAAATATCTTGTGATGTTGAGAGACATGGGTTAATTTCTCAGACACACAGGGATATTATTTACATATATATTTCTTTATCTCCAAACACGAGAGAGGACGTGGTTTCCACTAATGGAGTAATAATTATAATCGGCAGTACAGAGCATACATTTATCGACTTACAGTATCTGTGAATCAGTGAAGATGTTCTTATGAAACATGAGTGAAGTTAGGCTGTGCCAGCACTTAGACATATTAAGGTACTTGCAGGGTCACAGTTGGGTAATGATTCATTTCACAGCCATACTGCTCATGGTAGCACTGCCTTCATGCAATCCACACAGCGTGAGTTGCTTGATAGTGTTTCATGGTGGTTTCTGAGTAATGTGGGAAAAAAAGTCATTAAAATGTCTGGTATTCATGGTCTCTAAAGGAAAAAATAGATAAATATTGGAGATTCATACATATATAATTGATGCAGTACCCATTAATTTTCCCAGAAATAAATTATCTTCAGTGAGAGTCAGAAGAGTCTATATATTTTTAATATATATATAAGTCTATATATATTTAATATATTTTCTTCAAAACAGGAGGAGCAAAGAAAAAGCTACTTCCATAGCGTAGCTCTACAAACACTGACATACAAACCCCTATTTCTCTTTTAAAAAATCCCAAATTCCCGTAAAACGTGGCATAATATGTTGCTTGAAATAAACTCTGCTTATATGCAATAGAATCTGTTGCCAGAGTATTTTTATCCAAATTAAGATATGCAGATTTTGCTGGTATTTTCTTTGGGTGTGACTCATGTTAAACTTGTGATCTAAAATGTACGGTGCTTACATTTGCAGATGAAAGTTGCTATAAGGTATTTTGAAAAACATAAATTGCAATCGTGCTAATATATATATGCAGATATTTTCAAAACAATGTAAACTAAGGAAAAGCAAGCTGGATGTTACAAATAGTTATCCTGGAATCAATTTAAATTCAGATTAAAAATTGTCTGATTTAGGAATATCACTGAAAAAAGACATTCATTTTTTGCCTGAAAATTTAATATGATTAAATACACGTTATATGTGATTATAGTGGTTTTTGCTACAAGCATTTTATGTGAAAAATATTTTATTTTAAATTATAGGAAGAATGAGGAAGATTGTGTGATGTCCAAAAATACAAGGATGCAAATTGCTAAACGAGTTTGCATCATACTAAGATCTAGAGAGGGAACAGTGATCTCTGGCTGGGTTGAATTACATTATCTGTACTGATTGATAAACCAAGTTTCTCTTCAATTTCCTATTTAAATACGAAATTTTCGATTTAGTGTAGAACACACTATGCCAGCAAGAGCTGGAGGCAGACACACAACATACTTGAAACACTAGGTGGCAGAGGAGTGTAGGTTTCTTCTAGGTAGAAAACAAAAGCCAAAGATTCACTCGTGAGATACGAAATAGTCAAAATCAGGTTTAAGAGATTTGCAATTGTATAAGTAAAAGATCTGCAAGTAGGTTTGCTAGGTACAAAGGAAAATATGATAGTTTTTATGGGACACAGGCTAATCTACTGTGGTTCATTGTTCTGACTGAATTACATTAGATGTATACTGAGAATTAATGCACGGGCTTTTGTGTATACTTATGTATTTCTGCTCTTTGCTTTGGGTGATTGATTTGAAATTGAAGTTTTACCTATCGTGTTCCCCTAGCAGGATAGTGGAGCTCTTTTTTCCACCTCTTAATTACAGACAGCTTTCTGAATTCTGTTCCTCTGTACACCTGGTGTATTCAGTTAGTTGGCATTTTATTTGTACAGCTAAAAAGTCACACAAATAATAGTTATTCCAATGAATCTCAAGGTATTGCTGCCTTAAACTTTTAGGGACATAAGGAGACACATTGGAAAGAGAATTAAAATGATGTGGTCCTTAAGTGAATAATAGTTGCTCAGAACAGAATAGAGGATTGTGGTCTCCATCAGAAGTTCAAAATGTTTTGGAAGCACATGAGTGTCTAAAGATACAGGTGTCTGTATCTTTAGAACTTGTTAATTAGCACTTAAATAAATGAGATATTAACAAAACTCCTTCTTTCACTTTACATGACTGCATTGTCTAGTTTATATAGGGAATAAGCATCAGTAAATACAAGCTGTTTCCAGATAATTTGCCTAACTTAAACTGCCAAAAACTTCAAGAATGGAGCCAAATGGAAGGAAAATCAATGGAAGGGACCAGAAGGAAGTAAGCTATACCTAGCCTAGGTATATTCCTAGGCAATTCTGCTCATGACAGTGGAGTGTAATTCAAGGCAGAATTTGGCCCAATGCATTACTGTATTTGATGACAAATAATGAAACCCTGTACATATGGATATATGCAAGTATATATACGTGTATGTGTTAATTCAGAGCATATACATGTGAAACTACTGCTGGGTACCAACAGGATTGACTTTACAACTGAAAGCTAAGATTGCATTTGATGAGTGTACTAAACTGAGTCTGGTCACTTGGTGTTTGAAAGAAATTCAAGTATCTTTCAGTTTTCCCTGGTTAAGGACAATATACGTATTTAAAACGAAAGCCTTGGTGAAGTTGCCAGCTTATAATATTTGACAGAGATTTCACATTTTTATTTTTTAATAAGGCAGTTTTCTTGATTCTAAGGAGGTGGGACAAAGTCAAAATTTCAAAAATCATCAGGCAACTGATCAATCCTGTATACTCATTTTCTTGTGTTGTACTTTCTAAAGCAATCCTATGATTTTGAAAATTAGGGATATACTTAGTATATTCTGATTATCCAGATACACAAGCACTTGTCTGTTTCCGTTTGTTTCACAAAATGGCACAGATTCTATAGAAAGTGGTTCTGAAAATTATTGTACTTTATAGGTGTTCTTTTTGCTGCACAAGAATATGGAAATGTTCTGTCTGCTGTGTCTCAAACATAAGCTTGATTAATTCTTTATGTGTCCTAAATGCAGGAAACAGCTCACGAGGCTGAAGAGTAAAAATGTACATTAAATGCAGTGTGTATGTCATGCTGTAGGAAGGACAATCATTCCCTACGTACAGAGCTGACATAGCCTTTACATCTATTCCCATGGTATACTAATGCTGTTTCTACTCCCAGCCCTGTCACACAGGCTCATCAGCTTGTCTAGCAACATGGTTTACAGCTCTATTTTCCAATATGGTGTAGTTCTAGAGCATATTATGTGAAATATTTCCAATAAAACTAAGGATTTTGAGCAGGCTGTAGGAGAGGTGGATGTTTCATTTTATAATCTCAGATTAATATTAAATACAAAGGATGGTGTTCTTAAAGGTGCTGTAATATACAGCTTAAGGCTCAAAATGGACAGGCTGGCCCTGTAGGAAAAGTTCATTCTAAGTATATTGAGTTCTGAAGCTCCTGCTCATTTGTCTTTACTGTCCCTACTCAGTTATTATCAAATCAGGGAAAACATTTAAGTTTTTTTTTTCTGAAGAATAACATTAGGATTTAGCCCAATTAAAGATATTTTATTTAATCCTGTCACTTTTAAATAGGACAAATGATATCTTGTTCAAGAAGCCATTGAGTTCAGGGGTTTTCTTTTAAGAGAAATTGTAATTACAAGTGACA